GGCTCAGCATAGTGCAAAACTCAACCCTGGGCGTTAAGGTCCCGAGTTCTATTCATGGTTCTGTCACGGAGCGCCCTTAGGCTCTATACCTCAGTTTCCCTATCTGTAAGATGGGGGTGAATGACACCCACGCCCCCAGACAAGTGGGGATTGCAAGGCTTAATTAACATTAACGAAGGCCCGGATTCTGATAGCCTTACTCCACAGGGGGGCCCACTGATCTCAGTGAGGTTGTTTGAAGAGTAAAGTACCATACAGCATGGATAAAGCTATCGGAATCGGGGCAAAGTGCTTGGAGAAGTGCTGGTGTTTACTCTTAACAAGGGTCTCCATTCATGGACACCACGGACCCCAAGAATATAAGCTCACACAAGCCTCCATGCAGCCACAACAAAAATTTAGTCGGGTTCCCTTGCAAGGTAGTGATATAATTTGCATTCGTGTGTGTTTATGTAGGACATAAGCCTAGAGATTAGTTGGCCAATAGGTTCCTTGGCTGCTGCATGCCATAACAGATAGCTCAATGGTCTATATTGGTGGCAACAGCTTGATCATTAACTGTTCAAGATGCTGCTTGGCCATATTCTGGTCAAATTAGAATATAAGAGCCGCCATACTGGGTCAGACCAAGGGCCCAGTATCCTGTCTGCTGACAGTGGCCAATGCCAGGTGTCCCAGAGGGAATGAACAGCACAGGGAATCATTAAGTGATCCATCCCCTGTCGCCCATTCCCAGCTTCTGGCAGAGGCTGGGGACACCATCCCTGCCAATAGCCATTGATGGACCTATCCTCCATAAATTTATCTAGTTCTTTTTGGAACCCTGTTGTTGTCTTTGTCTTCACAACATCCTCTGGCAAGGAGTTCCACAGGTTCACTGTGCATTGTGTGGGGAAAAAAAATACTTCCTTTTGTTTTAAACTTGCTGCCTATTATCTTCATTTGGTGACCCCCGGTTCTTGTGTTATGAGAAGGGGTAAACACCACTTATTTACTTTCTCTACACCAGTCATGATTTTTTTAGACCTCTATCACATTCCTCCTTAGCCATCTCTTTTCCAAGCTGAAGAGTCCCAGTCGTATTACTCTCTGCTCATATGGCAGCCGTTCCATACCCCTAATCATTTTTGTTGCCCATTCTGAACCTTTTCCCAATTCCAATAGATCTTTTTCGAGATGGGGCGACCAGATCTGCATGCAGTATTTAAGATGTGGGCGTAGCATGGATTTATATAGAGGCAATATGATATTTTCTCTTATTATCTCTCCCTTTCTTAATGATTCCCAACATTGTTTGCTCTTTTGACGGCAGCTGCACATGGAGTGGATGTTTTCAAAGAACTCTCCACAATGACTCCAAGATCTCTTTCTTGAGTGCTAACAGCTAATTTAGACCCCCATCATTTTATATGTACAGTTGGGATTATATTCTCCCCTTAGAAACGCACACACAACTCCCATTGCCTCCACTAACAAATCATGCTGGTGTCCAAGGGCAGAAGTTGGCCCGGTGCCTTCCATCCCACCCGAGGCTCTGAGCCGTAGCAGGGGGATGCTTCCGCTCCATGTACTAACAAGAGAACAAGTCCCACAGTTTAAGACTACCCCTAGAGAGATGGTTCACCATAGATAGCAACAATCACAGAACTTCAGACAGGGCAATTCCCACTTAATAGACCCTTTTTAAAAAAATATTTGTATTACCATAGCATCTAGCAATCCCAGTCATTGTGCTAGGCACTGTACAAACCACAGAACAAGACAACTGCCCCTGCCCAAAGAGCTTGCAATCTAAATAATTAAATCATCAAGTTCATCCCACTGCACGCCTTTGAGGATTGTTCCTTATACACTATTCTCGGGAGTTCTATCAGTCTCCTTTTAAATGACTCAAGCAACTACTTCCCTCAGGAGATAACCCTGGTTCGTGTTCTGCTCCCTGTTACAGCCACTAAAGAAATTCTCTGGAGGAGGAGATCCAAGTTCCAGTTCACCTGGTGCATGTAGCCATCCAACACCAAAGAGATCCTCAGAAAGGCAGAACCTTCTGCGTTTTTTTTTTTTTATTAAACAAAAAAAGGCCTCTCAATGTCCCCTGTGAGTGCTAATTTTATTTTTCCTACATATGCCACTGGGCTGAGTTCCGATCTCGCTCACACAGGTGCCAATCTGCCAGAACCCCAGCGATGTCTATGGAGGGGCACTGTTGTAAGCCCCATGCCAGCGAGAGGAGCAATTGGGCCCATTACACGGGCAGACCGTTTCAGATACGATCCTACCCTACATCATGCTTCCACGCATCATGTTCACTTGGCGCCTAGAACGGGCTTCTGTCATTCAAGACACTCCAGCTAACCAAAAGGATCACACTTCAGATTCTCTTTGTCAGCAATTCACCTTCCAGAACTGCAGCTTATTTTCCTCTCTGCTCTCTGGTTGCTGCTAGGGAGGATGTCAACACAGACAGATGGGGAGCTTCCGGTACTCTGCTCAGCTGAGTATGAAGCACTAGGGCCGGGACTAGCTAAGCTATTTGACTAGCAAATGAACTAAACAAGATGTACAATGTGAAGAGGGCTCAGGAGACGCACTCTCAGCGGGTAACTCCACTTCTTTATCACAGCAATGATTTAAAGTATGATTGTGCTCTTCCTAGCATCCAGTACAAGGATTTCATGCCCTGGTCAGAGTGGGGGTGTAACTGGGATGAATGCAATAACGATGAGTAAAGAATAAGATATAAGTCCAAATACAATGTCCCAAGATCTGTTAGTGTGTGGAATCATCTCCCAAGGGAAGGAGCGGGAACCCCATTGCTTGAGTCACTGCCAACAAGATTGAACAAACCAACCATGGGGAAGAGAGACCTGAAGAACTGACCATAGGGAACAATGCTGCATCGGCCTGGGAGGGCCCGGAAGGTCCAACAGGCCCGTGTCAGATGTAACATCACCAGTCTGGCATAGGGACTACCCAGCGCAGAACTGCAGAGGTTAAAGAGAATCTGCGTCAGTGACAGGGACACCTCTAGCACGGAGTCAGGTGGCCAGCGTAGAGATCTCACCAAAATGATTGTGGGAACATTTTCTCACTAGTTCAGGGCCATGCACAGTACTTGCGTGTCTGCATATGTACGTGTAAATTTGTGTGCAAGTGGGTCTGTTTGTGAGTGTGAAAATTAATGTGGGGTCGGGAAAGAATTTCCCCCAGGTCAGATTGGCAGCATCCTTGGGGGGTGGTTTCAACTTCCTTTGCAGCATGTGGATGCAGGTCACTTGCCAGGACCCTGCCATTGAAGAGTCTTGGTGCATTTCGGTCCCTCATACTCTCTGCCTGTAGCATAGTAATCGCTTACAGCCCACGGGAGACTAATATGCGAGTCTCATTTCAGTTGTTGGGTTTAGGGTGCGGGTGGGGTGTTGGTGGCTTGTGACATACAGGAGAGCAAACTGGATGATCTGCTGGTCTCCTCTGGCTTTAAACTCTATGAGCACATTGTACAGTTGTGTTCACATACGGGTTTATAAACTTGGGTGCATGGCTGTAGGTGTGTTTTGTGCAGACATGCGCATATGTCCATATCTGCCATCGCAGTGTGTATTTACACCCATGGCTGTCCGTAGGCAAACGTGGGGAGCGGAGTGTGCGCGCGTCAAGATGCGTGAGAGAATATCTTTTGGGATCGAATTCTGCTGGCGAGAGAGACTAGCTTCTCTGTGTGGCTCGAAAGCTTGTCTCTTATTGGACCCACTTCTGTTGATGAAAGATTCCCTCACCCAGGTTCTCTCTAATATCCTGGAACGGACACTGCTACAGCTACACTGCATACTGTGTCGGTCAGCAGGGACTCCGTCAGAGAGAACCATAGGGTGTGTCCATGTCCAGCAGCCTGAATAAAGAACCCTCTTTGCATGCAACACGGCCCAGTCCTGCCTCCTCGCTATACCACAGGGGAATCCTCAGAGTCTCCCCAGGGTACAAAAGACTCCTGTGGGGTAGTTGGAGAGGTAAAGAAACCAGGGTAAACAGAGGGGAACCTTTAGCACCCAGGACACACAGCTATGTGCTATCCAGCCAGTCCCCAATTCATATGATGGATTTGCCGGCACTGCTTCGCTCGAGTGGCTTGCCTGGGGGAAAGTTTGGCAAGAAGATGCCCAGGGCAGGGGGTATGTCCCCGGCACCCAAAAAAACCCACAGAGAGAATAGCCTGGCAGAGCCCACAGGGTAAAGGATATAGTCCTCTCCTGCCTCCCCCAGTGCACATGGTTCAGACTTCATGCAGGGGAATCATACAAGTTCAATATGGGAGTGACATACCAGAGCATCAGCACAGATCCTCGCAGGTACAGAACCCAGCCTCCCCTGCACCGACCAGAGAGAGGACCAAAGCTTAGTTTGTAAGGAAAGAGGTGCCAGGGCGCAAGCAATTTAACTTTCTTAACTGATGCAGCGAGTGGCCCAGAGGTGCCAGAGCTATGACCTGCTCCGCCCTGGCACAATTTAAGCCCTGGGACCATCAGCTACCGAACAAACCCAATTCTTAAATATTACTCTTGTTCTGCTGCCACGGAACCTTGCCCGGCATGTCCCTGGGCATCTCACCCCCGCTCCCTAGGGGATCCCAATTCCAACTCCAGCAACAGGTGGAGGGGAAGCGCAGCCAGCCCAGGCGAGGGGACGGGGCTGCAGGCAGGCAGCAATGGTCAGAGTGGAGCAGAGGCAAGGGCCATCCCGTCCAGGATCTGGTCTCCAGCAGCTGCTTCAGAGGAAGGCGCAAGGAACCTCACCGCAGAACCTGCCTCCGCACGGGTCTCACCCTGACCTCTCCAGCGCCTTTGACCCGAGGCAGGCAGCCAGCCCTTTCGGCCTCTACCTAGCCACAGTGTCACTTCCCTTTTTAGTCACATAAATGAAGATAATCCGGCTCACTTCGCAGGGGGCCCCCATTCCCCCTCCGGCTCAGCCTCCCCCCCCCCCCCAGGCGCTAGTCTACTCACCCCAGCGTGCTGATGAACCCATTGACCGACCCTTCGGCGTACAGGGAGACGATGTCCCCGATGTGCAAGAAGCTGGACATCTCATTCATGATTCCCGCGACCGGCCCCCCTCTTCCTGGAGTCGCGGTCCTCAGCTCACTTCCACCGCCACGTGGGGGCACCGCAGCCGGCGGTCCAAGGGAGCCTGCCCCACCCCCGGAGCGGAGCCAGGGGGGAAGAAGGTGGGTGGATGGGGGGGGGGGGGGGTTTACATGTGCTCCCCAGCGCAGGAGCGCGCAAACAGGCAGCGCTGGAGCTGGGCTTGCGGGGGGGGGGGGGGGCTCAATTACAGCTTTGCAGGAGGGCTCCGGCTTAGTTTGCTACCTGCAGCCAATGACAGCCGAGCAGGAAGTCCTGCTGAACCCAGGCATGCAAATCTCGCCCGCGTGGGGTGCCCCGCCGGCCCAGGCCCCACCCCTCCTCCCTCCAACTTTGGGGAACTTCTTGCTGGCCCGGGCAGCGGCGCCCAGGGCCCCCATGCAGCGGGCGGTGGGGGGGGGGGGGGTGACTCACACTCACGCACCCCGCGGCTAGCTCCCACCGCGCCCGTTCACACGGGGCGAGGCGAAGCGGGGAGGGCGAAGGCTGCTCCGCTTAGTGCAGCCCGGGCGGTGGCTTCCTGTGGCTGGGGTGTAGGACCAATTTGTATAGTGGGGGGGGGGGGCGCTGAGAGCCATTGAACCAGCCTGTAACCCCTGGATACGATGGAAACCGCTTCAAGCTGGGGGGGGCGATACCCCCAGTTCCAGCACCTATGTCCTGTGGGTGCCCAGGGGGCTCAGCCAGCGGGCCAGAGCCTTGGGGACAGTTTCGCGGCTTTCCCCTCTGATTGGGCTAGCAGCCCCTCGCTGGTACAGGCCACAGGGCGATTTAACCCCAGCTGATGCATTTGCAAGTTGGACCTGCACCAGATCTCAGGGGAGCCACTAGGAAAGAGGGGAGGGAGGGTTAAACTGTGCAATGGGACTTTGTACCACCGTGCCTTAAAAAAAAAAAAAAAAAAAAGCTCACTGATTTGGTTAAAGTCATCTCCCCCTGACATACACACACACTTAGGGGTTACACAGCCAGTTAGTGGCAGAGCTGGAAGTACAAGTCAGAAATCTGGACTCCTGGTCCCCTGTGCTCCAACCCATAGACCCCACTCCCTCAGAGCCAGGAACCGAACCCAGGAGTTGGCCCTCCCAGCTTCTCCTCTCTTCTAACCCCCACACTCCCCTCCCATCACAGGGCTGGGAACAACCCCAGAGTGCCAGTTCCCGGTCCACTGCTCTAACCATTGGACCATACTCCCCTCCTAGATGTGGGAGTCCTGACTCACAGCCCATCCTTCTCTAACCCACTAATCCCTGCGAGCTAGGAACTGAACACCCCTGAGTCCTGACTCCTGGTCTCCGTGCTCTGATTTCTGGGTGCTGAGATTAAGGATGAGAAGTTCCCTCACGGAAGGAACATTTGGGAGGAAGAGCTGAGTGTTCAGGAGAGAACAGCTTTTTCGCACACAGCTGGAGAAGCCAATGAGGGTTTATTAAACAGGGACATTTTGACCCATGGCATTCTCTCTGGAACTTGCTGGGGGGAAAAAATTAAATTAAATTAAAAAAAAATGAAATCAGCATCCACTGCACATGGGAATCCTTGGAGCTAGTCACCTCTGACTGGTTGCAAAGCTCTCTGCCAGCTTGCTCCAGCCTGCCTCAGAGATCTGATGTTTCTCCACCCTTGGCTCATCCATCCCCAGCCCTCCCTCTGTCCTGCAGTCCAGCCCTAGGGGATAAGAGAGCCTTCGTCTCCGTAGCCTACAAACAAATAATGATGATAAAGCCTCAATTAGGGCCAGGTTGGTCCCCACCCACGTCTGAGGCAGGGACCGGCCACTCTTGCAACCTGTGAGGACTAGCCACCCCAGAGGGCTTTGGGGGAAGTGGAATTGGCCAGTTGTGGCCAGGACCGTGCCAGGTTCAGCACATTGGGAGGAGGTTTGGCTTGGGGCTCTAATCTGGGCCATGCATAGCAAGGCACTTTGAGAGGTAGTCTTATTACCCTAGAACACCCTCTGGAGAGCTGTGGGGTGGAGCTGTCCCCAAAGCTTGGCTGGGTCTTATTGGCACAATACACCTCACTGCACACAACACGGCCAAGAATCAGAGTTGTGAGGTCACTGCAGCCCATGCAAGAATAAGGATTAGGAGGAGACCGATGTGGGGGCAGAATATCCCACATCTGCCTACTGCAGGGTTCCTGGACCTTCCTCTGAAGCATCTGCTGCTGGCCAGAGCCAGGTTCCTGGACTAGAGGGATCCCAAGTCTGACCCAATCTGGCAGCTCCTTTGTTCCTAATAAAGCATCAGCGGAACAGCACGATATTCTCAGAGTATCTGATGGACACTGTAGTCATTCCAGTTCCACACATTTAAATGTAATTCTCTTTCTTGCCTGCTATCGGCAACATTAGAAAAACAAAAACAAAAAAACAAACAAAAAAAAACCAAACATGCTTTTGTGATTCATTTCCCCCTGCCCTTCCTTGCCAACACACACACACCCCCATGACTTCTGAAATCTAAATCTTGCCCTATATGCTGGTTTGTTTTTTTCTGCTAGGAAACAGACAAATCCCCTGGCAGAACAGGGAAATCTAGTGCAATTCCTACAGGGAAGCTGTGAGTTCAGGTCCAGCAGGATTAGCTGCCTTTTCAACACAGGACAAATTTAGCATCCCCTATCTCACGGTGATGGAGGGGAGAAACTTATCTGGCTTTAGTGGCAGTGAAGTTTTCTCAACACTGGCTCAGAGAAAATACCTCCAAGAATCAAAGATGAAAGCTTACCCACAAATACTCAACTGCTCTGATAAGAAAGGGAAACAGCCTCTCAGACATCACGTCAGGTGTAATATATTGTTCTAGGGATTAGAGCACAGGACTCCTGGATTCTTTTCCTGGCCCTATCACTCTTTGGCTGCATAACCTTGGACGAGTCGTGATCTCTCTGTGCCTCAGGAAAATGGGGGTCATGACATTAGTCACTCACACGGGGTTTGGTTAATTAACATTTGCAATGTGCTTTTGAGATCCCTAAGTGAAACCCGCTTCAGAAGTGCAAAATATTGTACTGAACCAATGCAAGGCTGGCCTGATTTCTGCTCACCAAGAGAATAGGGGACATGAAGCAGAATCCATTTAAAATAATGTTATAAATAAGACCCAGCTCAGACAGTCAGACCTCATTTCTAGCACAGTCTGGTTCACAGCATCACAGGACTGGATATTTTAGCTCAGCTCAGCAACCCATCCAATTTGGTAGTACTGGCCAATACTTTATGTTTCGAAGGAAGGTGGAAACACTCTCCCAACACACCTCATTGTATTGTAAAATGCTGTCCAGGGCTAGGGGGGGTAAAGAACAGGTTCAGATATTTGGCACTTACAGTCAGAGCCTTTTACAATGCTGGGAAGGTCCCATTATGCCAGATAGGGAAACTGTGGCTAAAATGCAGGTGATAGGACTTACCCAACATAATGCAGTGTTCTTCCTGGCTCTGCTATGGGTAAACCCCAAATCCTCTGCTTCTCCAACTTGATGCTCTAACAATTGGGCCATGCTGCATCCTAGAGGACAGCTCTTCAGTTAAATGGTTAATCCATGGAACAGAGAAGCCTCAATCAAAACCTAAAAAGAAAAGGAGTACTTGTGGCATCTTAGAGACTAACCAATTTATTTGAGCATGAGCTTTCGTGAGCTACAGTTCACTTCATCGGAGTGGAGTTACCGATGAAGTGAGCTGTAGCTCACGAAAGCTTATGCTCAAATAAATTGGTTAGTCTCTAAGGTGCCACAAGTACTCCTTTTCTTTTTGCGAATTCAGACTAACACGGCTGTTACTCTGAAACCAATCAAAACCTAGGATCCCAGTCACCCCACATCCCCCGCAACTGTAGGACAGATCAGATCCACAAAATCCAAAAGTTCAGTCTCAGCCCTTCCTCCAATGGGGTTAAACCTCTTCGAGCTCAGCTGGTGCAAACCTTAAACTTCACATACATCAATATTGGATACAAATAGATCGATCCCCGTGGCACGCAGTAAATGGAGGGGCCTCACCAACCACTCAAACTATTTGAAACAAGAATCCAGCACTGCGGGCAGACAATTTCTAGGGGATTACTGTATTTGTCTGGTGGTTCAGGGGCTGAGCCACCACCCCAGACATGCTAGAATCACTCAGAAAGCCACATGGCAGGCAGTGCCTTTTGCCTAATGAATCTCTGCTTATTCACTTTCAGACTGATGGACTTTTACAGTTTGCTGGGGGAGTATGAAATTGGGTGGGTTTTGTACCCGTCGGGTCTCGGTTTAAGATACTGGATTAAATGCAGGAGATGAGCAGAGGATGTATTGTATGCACAGGGCACAGTAGAGAGAGGACCCAGGGCTCCCAACAGATGCTTAGTCCCTACTGACTGACTTCAACAGGCATTTGGGCTAAGGAAAGGGCCAGGATTGGGCCCATTACTACATAGCCAGGTAGAACTAGGGCAGGCCTTAAGCTCCTTGGGTCTGAATAGAAGTTAACTCCTTGGTCAGACAGATGGCCAGCCAAGTGGAGGTGAGAGCCACTGGACACATGGGTTATGTGTCCCCAGTCCAAGAGAGTGGGGGTACGTTGCTGCTCCCCACTCCAGAGCCCAGCTCTTTGACTCAAGCTGTAATGACTCATGCTTGTAGAACTCAGCCCTGGGTTGAGACCCAACAGCTTGATAGTTCAACCCTCCAGGGCTGGGCTTGAGCTGAGAGGTTGTTGAGCCTGCGGTTGGCCCCTGAGGGGTGGTGGAGGGAGAGGTAGCCTCATCACAGGGGTCTAGTTTCTCATTTTGTGTTTTAAAAGGGACCCTCATTCTTGGGGAGGGGGGGAGGCTTGATTTGCTTCTAGAAGAGGGAGCTGTTTGAGGGGGAGATGGCCCAGGGAGTGAGTGCATAGGGGCTATTGGTGGAAAGGGTGTGGGGTTAAGGAAGGAGAAGACAAGAGACAGGCCACAGCAAACCTGCCATTGTTTGGGCCACCTCTGGGCCTCCCGGCCCTCTCTCTCTCCTCTGCACTCCTTCACTCTACAGGCCTGGTTTTCAGAGGCGTGGAGCACCCACAGTTCCAGCTGGAGTCAATGGGAGCTGCAGCTGGCCAGCACCTCTGGCAAACTAGGCCAGAAGCACGCAAGCAAAG